TACTCCTGCAACTTTAATTTCATTTGATCCCCATGTCCGCTGTTCATGCTGGAGGATGGGCTGTCGTGCTCTCTCAGAGAGATGCTTCCTAACATTACAGCTTGAATGACCTTCCACATCTCCACCCCTCCTTTTGAGTGCAAGCACTGTACTTTCCACCTCTGGGACTCGAGTCCAGTTAACTAGTTTCTCAGAATCCCTTCTTAAATGTTACCTAGCAGACACTACAACAGCTCATCAAATCATAAAATCCACTTGCCTTCACTCCTACCTAACACACTCACATAAGCCTGTTGCATGGTCGAGCCCCTCGTACACAAAACATCCTTCCTTCCAACCTTTCCTATGACACCTACCCCTCCTTCCCTCCACCCCAGATTTATCCACGCTCGTAGTCATACTATTTCGCTCCTTCCACTCTACACGTCCAAACCGCATCGACCTCTCATTTCCCCTCTGAATAATACTTTTGGTAACCCCGCACCTTTTATTCTTCAAACTACAAATTCTCTGCCTAGTATTCACCCTACACATTGCCCTGAGTCACCACATCTCCACTGCATCCAGTCTCCTTTAGCTGCAACGTTTAAAACTCAAGCTTCACACCCATATACGAGTGTTAGTACTACTATTCTCTGGTACATTATTCTCTTTACCTTCATGGATAATGTTCTTTGTCTCCACAAATGCCTCAATGTACCACCCACCTTTTTACCTTCAGATCCGTCTACTGGCAAGTTCACTCCCAAATATCTAAACACAGTCACTTCCTCCATACTCCCTCCTTCCAATCTGATATCCAGTCTTTCGCTACTTTTTTTTTTTGTTTTGGATACTCTCATCATCTTGCTACCTTGCTTTTTTCATGTTTAATTTTAATTTCATCCTTTTACACAGTTTTCTAAATTCGTCTAACCTTTGCATCCTCTCTCCAGAATTTTCCAGAAGAACTGTGTTATTGGCACAAAAGAAAAAGCGACTGTGATTACTCCCGCTTTGAATTAGATTCTTTATCTTTTAACCCCACACCTCTCACAGATACCCTAGAATTAATTTATATTACAACCCCTCTTTAAATACTTCATGTTAAACACCCATAGTGACATGACAATATTGCTTTTGATGTCACTGACAACAGTCGGCTAACATACACGTACCTCAGCTTATTGCTAGGTGGGCAAGGACATCACTGGGCTTGGGAAACTAACCCATGTATTACAGTGGTGAAATAAATGCTTTTAGCACTGAGTTACTAGCCACCTGTGTTTATGGTGGGTGTGGAGGGCTGTGGAGGAAGGGTTAGCTTGTGTACCTAGTGGTGAAAGAGGGACTGTCTCTCAGTCTTCTTGTCGTCACAATCTTGAATTCAGCGGATTCCGTGGTATATCGTTTCAGTACCTGGGAGTAAGAGGGGCTCACCGACAATTTGAGAATAACAAAGCATCTAAAACCAAATCTGACCCCAGGTTGCTATACGGCCACATCAGGTGGAAGACAACAGTAAAGGACTAGGTAATCAGGCTGAAGAAGGAAGGAATAGCTCACTAGGAATGATTAGAAAGTGTGCGAGGAGCTCAGCAAGAAATTTAAGGAGGTATCCTTGGACGATACAAGAGTCCAAGAGCTAGAGTGCACCAGCTAGTGCTGGACACAATACATACGATGGGAGAAGAGGTGAGCTAGATACTTCGAAAACAATGGGACCAGACAATATCTCTGAGGGTCCAGGAGAGAGAGAGAGAGAGAGAGAGAGAGAGAGAGAGAGGAGGGGAGAGAGAGAGAGAGAGAGAGGAGGGGAGAGAGAGAGAGAGAGAGAGGAGGGGAGAGAGAGAGAGAGGAGGGGAGAGAGAGAGAGAGAGAGAGAGGAGGGGGGAGAGAGAGGGCAAAGCACTGCGTGAACCGCTAGCCACAATCTTCAACAAATCAAGAGAAACAGGGCAACTGCCAAAGTTGTAGAAGACAGTAAATGTAGTTCCAATATTGAAGGGGACAAACAAATATTAAGCTACAGACCAGTGTCACTGACATGCCAGGTAAGGTTATGGAGAGGATTACTGCAGAATAGTAGTAGAGCGCCTAGAAAGGGGTGGGTTCATAAATAACCAGCACGGCTTCAGAGCATGTAAATCCTGTTTTTCAGTCCTACTAGAATTCTACGACACGGGAACAGAAGTGAGGCAGGATAGAGGGATGGGAAGATGTGTAAAAGAATGTGCACTAAATTTTTAACACTACTGCAGAAGAGGTTGGGACAAAATCTAGAGAAGGTAGGAATAACAGGGAATGTATTACAATGAATGAATTAATACTCTACAGGAAGAAAACTATGATTGTTCAGGAAGAGGTGTCAAACTGGACTCGTGTGACGAGTAGGGGTTCCACAAGGAACAATACTAGGACCGATGCTAATTTTTTGTGTACATAAATGGCATGACGGAAACGATGGAGTCAGTGATATTCTTGTTTACAGATGTGAAATGAGAAAAATACAAACAGGCGAAAACCAGGAAAGACTGCAAATGAAGCTGGATAGGCTCATTTGAAGTCTGATTTGACAAGAAAGTGCAAAGTTTTGTAGATTGTGGATGGGTATAGATCGCAAACTGAGTACAGACTCAGTGAACAAAACTGCAAACCTTACTCGAGGAGAAGGATCTTAGAGTGAGGATTATGCCGAGAATTTCGCTTGTGGCACACATTAACCAGATATCTGATGCAGCAAACGCGTGTCAGGCAAATCTAAGATAAACTTTGAAGATCCTAAGCAAGGAATCAATCATGACACTTTATACGGCGTATGTCAGGTCCATATTAAAAAATACAGCACCAGTATGAAACCCATACCTGATCAACTGTTGTCAAACTGGTTTGCAACGAGACTAGTTCAGGGCTAAGGGAATGTGGTGTGTGGAGAGTTTAAGGGAGTTAAATCTGATGACATTAGATGAAAGAGCAACTAAGGGTGATATGACAGCATCATACAAGATACCGAGAGGAATTGATAGGATGATCAGGGACAGACTGTTCGACGGGAAGCAGAAATATGAAGGCACAGATGGAAGTTGAAATAACAGATGAGTCACAGGGATGTTAAGAAGTATGTCTTCATGACGTGAACGACCTGGACAGTGGATTAGTAGGGACAGTATTCGTATATATTCTTAAGTACTATAAGGCTCTCGAAGCGTAGAGGAAGCGTAGAGGCAGCGTAGAGGAAGCGTAGAGGCAGCGTAGAGGCAGCGTAGAGGAAGCGTAGAGGAAGCGTAGAGGAAGCGTAGAGGCAGCGTAGAGGCAGCGTAGATGCAGGGCCAAAAGCCAAGACTCTGCTCCTGCAACTATATATAGGCGAGGGTACAGTGTTTGAGTACCGTGTCTGGAAGTTACAGTTAAAATATGTGGCATAGTCAGCAGCATATCCCAAATTATATCTGTACGAAGACCTACAGGAACACCCACCGTGGCCGCCCACTACCCAGTTTGCAGATACTGTTCTCAAGTGACGAGTCTGTGTAGTGAGGCTATCCAATCACCCAAGTCTGTTTGAGCACAACAAAGCTTGTGATTCACCTCTAGGAAACACTGGATCTACGACAGAGCTGGAAGCCTGGTATCTAGTCCAACATTGTCTTCAATGAGAAGCAGTGAAGGGATACAGCCAAAACCTTTTTTTTACGGCAATT